CCGCTGTCTATTAGTTTATAGGTGATAAGTTTATGCATAATGTTTACTCAAAAGCCGCTACCAAAGCAACAAAATATATTCTTTTGATATTTTTTTTTATCGCATGTATTGGCAGTTGGAACAATTATTTAACTAATAAAAGAAAATTTAGACTACTCGTACTATTTGATCATTACAAAAGAAATGTCCCAAATCGGTCCAAACTGTTTTTAAATGATGCGATAGCGATTATCAACTCACAGCATCCCACTAAAAAAAATTGAATTGCAAGCCATTAAATTGAAATTCCCATATTTATAACAGTACTTAAATATATATTTATTTACCACAGATACTTAAGCGATATCACTGATGATACGGAGCAATGTGAATAGTTTGTGACATAAATAGCTAGATGTTCCATAATATAAATATAAAAATTCCATCTTTTTAATGATAAACGTAATAGCAAAAAAATAGAAGTTCTTGCAACAATTAATAGTTTATAAATKAGGTATCCACTACATATAAATGAATCAATTGTTATACTTAATTTAAATTTTATTGGAATTTGAAATAAAAATATCACAATAATACGAATTTTAGACATTCTGTAACAGCGATATAAACAATCTAAGGAACCATCTAATAAATTTTCAAGCTTTTTACAAAGCCTGTCTTTTTTAACAYTAAAAAATTCAACAATTTTAAATTCTAATAATTAGCTTAAAAATATCCAAATGTTTTGAAAATCTAACCATATTAAATGAAAATTTAATCGACAGTGGAATGTTTCAATTTTATATGATTAACTTTTTGAACATCAAAAAAAAAAAATTTCTTGTTTAACAACTATCTAATTTATATTAATTATTCATTTAAGTTTACTTATATAAAACTATAAATAGAATTATACTTTTTTTTTTATTATTATTATAACAGAAATGTATATGAAATACTGTATTAAATCATATAAGTATAGGTAAAACATATTTAAATCTTTGGTATAAATATAAAAATTTAATGCATTTTAAATTTCAAATTAAATATTTGCTAATTTTTGAGATTCAGATGAATTATGTAAAAAATTGAAACTMTTATAAAAACTATTGTTTATTTTCAAAATATTTTAATTGAACAATTTATGACAATTTTGTAATTAATTTTCAAGCTTTTTACACATCGAGTATTATGAATTTATGATACATTTTAGGTTAGGTTATCAATTGTTTTTTTTATTTTTTACGGTTATTTTGAAGTGTCCATGGTTTTAACTTATGGTTCTTTAGTGTATCAGGTTCAATTTGCAAATAGACACTAATGCAACATAGCAAATTTGTATTGCATAACCAATATTTATTAGGGTTATTTATAAATAATAGAGTAAAGTTAATTGTTTTTAAACTCAAAGTTTAGTACATTATCAGTGTTTTTAAGTTGGATTTTATACAATATTTTCCAATTGTTATTTTAAAAGTTATGACTTTATGAGTATGTAGAACATTAAAACTAAAAAATGCAGAAATATGTCATTGAAAAAAAAAATCTAAAATACAAACAAAGATAATGTCCTAAACTGTAAGTTAAAAAATAAGTTAATTTACTTAAAAAATGAAACTAACACTCAAGATTGATTCTGTTAAACTCAATTTGCTATGCTGTGCTTCAATTAGAAAAATAAAATAAAAACTGAACATTAAAAATTCTATAAAATATTTAAAAATTAATTGAGTACTATTTTTATCTTCTTTATTGAAGTAAATGATGCAATAAATACACATATTGTGATATAGTAAAAGATCACATTTTTAGCCTGTTTGTGGTTTTGAAGGCTGTATTGTTTCTCCACCACGAATTAAACCCCATCCAATAAGTCTGCAATAAAACAAAACAAAAATATTAAATATAATTGTATACTGTTTACTCTGTTTCAAAAGAGAATAATCTGTACAACTGAATTTCATTGGTCGCCGCACATYTCCCACCAATGACCCATATGAATTAAGCAGTAAGAATTTGAATATGAATTTAGCAGTCCAACACTAATTTCGATAGTCACAAAAGTTCATACATGGTGTATGGGAAACGTCGGCTAACAAGATAGGGGAGATTAGGCCTCAAAACTGCCGTAGCTGTCAATCATATGCGCAAGAGATTATTCTCTTTTGGAACAGAGTATAGATCAAACCAACATTTCAATTAATAATTGATTGACATTATTGAAATGTATTAACAACTTAAAATTTTATTTACCTCCAATGCTTTTCAACTCGACGACTTAGTGAAATCTTTTCTCCAATTTCTGTACAAACGGGTGTAGTTAAACTAATTTTAGCTAAATCAGCTTTTGTAGCTAATACTCTTCCACCAGTGGACAGAGATCCAATATTTAATAACAATACCTCGTTTTTTGATAATCGTTGAACCTTTTTTATAAAAATAAATAAATAATAAGGTTTGCTGCTTAAAATCTATAACATATATTTTTTATACCTTAGCTGCTTTCTTATCTCCTTCTGTACGTACACCTAATAATCGCTTAAGCAAATAGTATGAAACTTCTAACTCAATAAAAATATCTGGTAGCGCTCCAACTGCTCCTAATACTTGTCCAACAAGACGATCAGCCCTACACAAAGTAGGTTCAATTTTTGTTCCAACTCCAATAAGTCCTCCGGGAACAGCAAAGTTCAACTCGTTTTGTTCCGTGTACAAGGATACAATACGTGAGAAAATTGGCTGACAAGTTAATTTACCTTCACTATCTTTAGATACTAAGCCAGGCCGAACTTCAATTTCCATRCCAACTTTTAAAACGCCACGTAAAATACTACCACCAGCCACTCCTCCTTTAAGATCATCTACCTCACAACCAGGTTTGTTAACATCAAATGATCGAACAACAATTAGGCGTGGAGGTGATGTGAAGTCCCTTTCAGGAATTGGGATTTTTTTGTAAATATATTCACATAATACTTCCATATTATATTTGAGCTGAGCTGATATAGGTATAATAGGTGCGCCTTCAGCTACGGTTCCTTGAACAAACTTTTGTATCTGTTCTTGTTGTTCTTTGGCTTGACCTTCTTTCACCAAATCAATCTTGTTTTGCAAGATTATTACATTGTTTAACTTCATGATTTCTATGGCAGCCAAGTGTTCTGATGTTTGTGGTTGAGGGCAAGATTCATTCCCAGCTTAAAACAACAGCAAAAATGTTAAAATTATAAAGGTAACTGAATAATAATTAATAAATAAACATAGGTATTTGTAATTATTTTACCTATGAGTAATAACGCAGCGTCCATAACTGCAGCTCCATTCAACATAGTAGCCATAAGAATGTCGTGACCAGGGCAGTCTACAAAAGACACATGTCTAACTAATTCAAATCTTCCAGGACATCCAGGTCTAGAACAAGGTAATGAGTCATCACGACCTGATCCACCAGATACAAAACAAGCAGGTCGTGGACACTTATCATAGTTGCATTTGTATATTTTTGCATTGGCATATCCTAAATAAAAAAAATAATATATWTTTTTTTTAAATAAACAAACAGAAATTCCATTTTATTTTCAAGACAAAGTAAACTCAATATTAAAAAATGCTGATTATGTTTAGAAGAATAATGTACATTACAAATAATATATATGTGTATAAATTAACTAATATGATAACCTTTCTCAAACATTAGACTAAAAAAATAAAAAATAAAAGCCTTAACAACTTTTTATAATTATAAGAACATTTAATTTCACGTTTTCAAAGAATTGTTATTCTTATTAATAAATAAAAAAAGTAGTAATTTAGTTGTTAGCCAAAAAAATCTTTCTATTGGTATATAAAGTTTATTTTGGAAAGTTTTTATTCGAGCAATCTACACATCACAAATGTTTATTAGCCATTGTATGAATGACAAAATTAGGTGAAATCGGTTTAAAATGTACCATCAATGATGTATTTATAATTTTTAGATAATCTATGTCCCATATATAATTAATGGATGATGAGGAATTTTCTAAATACTGATCACATTCGTCAATTGTTATCCAATAGAACATAATATGGGCTTACTAACTGACTTGCCACAATGATTGTGTCAGTCCATAACACCCAGCCTTATGGACTTGTTTTATAAATAAATCATTTACATTGCAGCAAAGGCCAAGATGAACTATTTTATTAACACAGGATGTACAATTACATTTATATTGGATTCCCTGGAAATACCATAATATTTTGCATTATATCATAAGCTTTTAGATAACCAGATCCTTAATTACAGTAATAAATAGATAAGACATTCAATTGAAAAAGGTGGGCTATCAGAGGTAAAGATCTATGTTATTTATTATTAATTATTATTTTTTTTTTT